AAATGGCGGGTGCTGGTGTTTCGTGTGCATTTGGCCAATCAGCGCACACTAACGTCACGGATAGTTCCTATATTGCTAAATTAGTTCCTCCAAATAGAGTTCCTAGAACTAAAATCGTTCCTAGTTCCTGCGGTGCGAACGTGCCAAGAACCGGGAACATCCGCCAATAGTTCTAGGAACTATGAAAAGGTTCCTCCGGGGTGAAAGCCTCTGAAGGTCGCATTTGTCGGCTGCATAAGTCATCAAGGATGTCGCATTTCAGAAAAGAGGGACCTAAAATAAAGAATAGATGGAGAAAGTGGAATGAAGATTATCAAGGAAGTAAATATTGAATAGGAAGAAAGTGAGTTATATAAGCAGTTGCCACAAAACGTTTTAACAAATTTACCTTACCAAAAAAAATTCATTCTGAGATTTTAAAATAAAGTTTGCATATTTATTTACAATTTTTTTTTTTCTCTTTATGCAGAGATATTGAAGTGTGATTTGCAATATTCAGTAATCACTTTTCAATAAGAGATTTTAAAGTACAATTTCAGATTTCTAAATGGTTAATTAGATATGTTATAACCTAGTTTTCAGCCTTTCAAACAACTTTATTCTCCAATCTTAATTTTTTACAAATCAGCCAAATATTCATTTAAAACAAAAGTTTGAGCAGAAATAAATATTGAAATGAGATGTGCTGAGTTATCATCTCATCAACTTCCTCTTTTCCTTTTAGGCCCAGAAATGAGAGCACAGACTTCCAGTGCATGTAGGATCCAATCAGAGACATCGAATGAGGAAACAGTGGAGCCAGTTGGAGATCGGTGGGATGATGAAGATTGGGGAAGCCTTGAGGTGATTGATGGTTATTCAAATTATGCAAAGTCTAGTGTTTTTTCAGTACTTGACCTTTTATACTATAAAAAGTTAGCATACAAATGAATACTGAGAAATTTGAATAATTCCTTATCTGTGTGCCTACAGGATCCTGAGAAAGTACAAACAGATCCAGACGATTTGCATTCTGATTGGCCGGCAGTGTCCTCAACACAGAAGAAAAGCAGTGTAGGTGATTTCGCATGCATATCTATTTACTGACATTAGCCCTATTCGCATGGGATTAGTATTACCTGGTGACCTTTAGTCATATGTAATAATTGTGGAGGTTGTCTGTGATCTTAATCCCGTGCGAATCGGCCATGTTTGTAATTTGTAAAGTAAAAAATTCCCCCGCAAATAAACTACCATATTTCGCCGAACACCGAGGTCCTGTGATAATATTAGTCCCGTGCGAATCGGCATCTCTGTGATTTGGCGGGATCGTATATAATTTTTTATATACATAGTTTTTGTTTCATGTGCGCCTTTTTATCCATCTTTCGTGAAGAATGGAGTGTTTTGATAGTATTTTGGGTGCTGGGTCATATCGCTTTACACCATACAACTACACAATTTGCAGAAAGATAAGGCTGAAAATCATCAGAAAAGCAAAAACAAAAAGAATGATTAGATGGAGATGAATAACATGTATAGCAGCATGCAGTAAGGAACATTATTCTGTTTATGTCATAATATATATTAGAAAAGCTAGACAAGACATTTCCAAGCAATAGCCTATTGATGTCATATCCGGAAGATAAGTCAGTAAATTTGAGTAAAATCACAGGCTTCGGTTATCCCGTGCGAATGCGCCACACGAAATTCAGATGTGGGGGGGTAATTTCTAAATCACACGGGGTCCCCAGATAGTACTAATCCTGTGCGAATAGGGCTGTTGAAAAACATAATGTGTGTGTATTGCAATTTAATGCTGACAATTGACATAAAAAAAATACTATTTATTCATATTTCACTTCACAAATAAAGCAATTATTTATTTTAAGTTATTTATTATCTTTTATACACTTGATATCTTTCCATAGGTGGGTCGGAAGTCCACTGAGGCAGTGAAGAAGCAGAGTTCTGATTGGAGCTCAGGCTGGGATGCCGACGACAGCTGGTCTAATGAGAAAGAAGCAGATGGTCAGGGTCAAAGTTCACCTACTGATGAGGGCTGGGGTAACGACTGGGATGATGAAGGTGGTCTAGCTGAGAGTTTCACCCCAACACATAAAAAAAAATCTTCAACTGGGGCTCCAAAGAGTGCCAGCATAAGCTCTGCGCAAGAAGGGGTACGATTGGCCAGCGATTATAACTGGGATGGAGCAGAAGGAAAGTCAGTAACATCCGATCTGTTCTCCAGTGTGTCACAACGAAGTACTATGGTAAGTCTCTGGTGGATGAGATATAGGTCATATTTTCATTAATTGTGAATTGCTAAAGGTGGTGGAACTCCATTCCAGATCATAGTTCCAGCCCAGTTTTATCCCTGCAAGTCACTGAAATAAGATATGTGTTTTTGGTCCACAGAAGTCTGATGGCTGGGACGCAGACAGTGCTGGAGACTGGGGAACAGAAGAAAACTGGGAGTCACTGGATGGAGATCAGGGTCAGAGTCATTTTGTTTCGCCAGGTTACACATTGAAGCGTATTTTAAAAATTCAGATTCATTCTTGTGTTGGAAGGAGAGGAAATTGAAAGTAAAGCCCAAATGACCACACTTTCTCTTGCTCCCTCAGGTTTAAGTAAAGCAGAATTGGCAAAGAAGAAACGAGAAGAAAGGCGGAAGGAGCTGGAGGCCAAACGTGCAGAGCGCAAGGCAGCAAAGGGTCCTCTCAAACTGGGGGCACGCAAACTGGACTGAGCACTGGAGGTACAGCAGAACATTGACTATTTGAAGATGAAAGGACTGCGAGATTTTAAAGAAACATTCCGTGATGTCAGAGAGGAGGAGGAGCCTCACAGCTGTCTGTATGTTGGGCAACTTTGAAGAACTGAAACTCTTTCTGGGGAACAGCTGACACCATAAACTATGATATTCCTTTACTCTCCTCACAGTACTATGATTTTTATATTACACAATATCATAGTTTACTGAGTGTGCATGAACTCACTGCTTTGAGAAGTATTGGGAGTCGAGGGAAATTTGAACAATATAATCCTAGATATTTGTATGTATGTACACTGATTATACATTAAATATGGACAGATTTGCCCTGAATGTGGACTTGGAGGACTTTTGAAAATGGATGATGTAGAGAAACGTAAACATGCTGTTAACTTAATCATGATCCTAGGTGGAACAATGCCAGTACTAGCGCATGTATAAACAGATGAATATTTTCAAAACAAAGAAAGAATTCACTGGAAGAATACACTGCAACTCATGAATGGCATTGTGTTTTTTTCTTTCTTTGCCATACGACAGGGTGAGGTGGATGTTGCTGTTATTTCTGGTTTGTGCCTTTTTCATTCCTAGTAGGCGTTACTTTTTATGTTGTAAATAAAATAAACTAATCAACAGATGATTTTGTTTTTAGTAAATGAGACAGTCTGTGAGATCTGGTGCAATATTTTCAGAAGGGGTAATTCATGTACTGTATAAACACACATGTAAAATTCAGCTTCATATTTATGATAATAAAGAGGAACAGTCTGTCTTTGGAGATGTGCTGTCCACAATCTTGTTGCAATGTTTCACAGAATTTAGTCCAGCAAATAATAACAAAAGTCTAACTGAACGGATGTTGCCTTTCAAAAATACATAATGGAAGATGACAGCACCTCCTTGATTTTTTTTGTTTGTCAGTGGTGAGATGGCACCCTGAAAGTGCAGATTTAAAATAGAACAAGCTTCAGATTTTGCAGTGACTAAATGGGGGAGGGGAAGTGTTATAATTACATATTTGGTTCAATTCCTATTTTTAAGTCATGTCATATCTGGAAATAAAGGAATTTTAATAATAATTCCCAGAGTTAGAATAAAAGGTTGTCCTTAGCTTCAGCCGATATTTAATTGGCTACATTTTGTATAAATCTTTTCTATCTTTAAAATTATTCCTAAAAATCCTTGTGCAGGAATGATGAACTACTGGGATCCCTGGGATTAATTATTATTTATTTATTATCATAAGCCTGTGATTAAAATTTGGGGGAGGAAAAAAAAGGATTATAGAAATATATGGTATTAAAATAAACGGGAAAATGAAGGACTTGATGCCAGATTATTTTTTATATGATTTTGGTCAGTAATGGGATAGTTCACCCAAAAGTTTATGTTTCAAGATGTTCCAAACCTGTATGAATTTATTTCTTCTGCGGAACACAAAAGAAGATAATTTTGAAGAATGTCAATGGGGCCCATCAACTGGTAACCCATATTCTTCAAAACATATTTTATGTTCAGCAGAAGAAAGAAACACATACAGGTTGGAACATCTTGAGGGTGAGTAACAGAATTTTCATTTTTGGGTGAACTATACCTTTAATTTGTTCCAATGGAGATATTCAACAAATAAGATGTCACTGATGTGGGTTGTTCAAGTGCCTCCCACTGCTTGTTGTTGCAAGAATTTGGCATTTGCCAGCAAATGGGAACAAAGGTCTCATTGAGCGGATGAAATTCAGGCCAGCAATACAGAAACCTCCAATGTAAATTGTGATCTTGGACAATGGAAAGTACAGAAATGATTTGATTATTAGCATGTTTTTTCACTCAGATATGTTGGTATAGAACACCACAAAATGTACAAATAAATAAACAAACACACAAACACCTAGTATATAGTGTAATATATTTAATGGCACAAAAATATAAATATGGCAGTTTGTTTTAGGATTTGATCAAATAGTTAGCTTGCCGTTTTGAATATTCAGAAAGTGCTGGAAATGTCATTAGGAAACCAGTAGGAAAAAGAATCAATTGTTTAAAAAAAATAATTTAAGGCATTTTAGATTTATCAGTTGGGAAATCCACTATTGTTATCAAATAGAACAGGTGGAATTTTGTTTAGTTGTCTTATGTTTGGTTTGTGAATATTTCAAGTTGTGCTCACAAAACTAAGCCTGCCAAGTTATTGCATCAAATGTTTTAATTATTTACATCAAATCCAATAGACATTTTGAAATGTCAAAGGCCTCCACAATTGCACTTTTCACTTCTGCATTTCTCAGTCCTTACTGTTTCTGCTTCTCTTTGTCTTTTGAACCAAAAAAGGTTGAAGCAGCAGCAAGAACTCCAAAGGTAACCGCTGCAAAGAGTCCAACTCCAACACCAATCTCCACCGCTTTACGAACCTATTAGAATGGACAGAAAGCATTTATATTAATTCACGGTATGATAAGCTAAGAGCCCATCACTGTTGCCTACATCAACATTAAATATTTTACCATAAAACAGCCCTGTAATCATAGCGTAGTATGCGGGGCTCAACTCAAAAGTAAATATGCATATAATGTAGGTATTTTAATAAATGTCACATTTTTATTTAGTAAAAAAATAAATCCAATCAATCTTACTAACTCCCCCAGTCTTATTTGCGTAAGAAGTTGTCACGTGCTGAATGTGCATATTTACAGATAACAGCCCAACAGATGTCCGTTTCAAAGCAGAGGGTGAGTTATTGTTCACTCCTTTATTTGTTTAATGAAATCCAAATCTTTAAAATATTTTGTTTATAGTGCCATTTAAACTATTTTTATTGCTAAGTTTAACGCAGCAAAACAGACTTTGCGCGGTATAATGAAAAGCTATTTAGTAATTAAATCATACCAATTTTAAATTAAAATAAAACACTAAAATAAATAAAACAAAACACTTACTAAAAAAAGATTGTATTTGTTTACCTGGATGTCATGTGACCATTAACCAACTTCAGAGAATTGTGAACTTAAGTATTATTATTACTATAATTTTTTTATTATTGAACTAACTTATTAACTATAAGGTCAAAGAGGTTCAGGTGACAAAAAAAGTTAGGGAATCCCTACATTGCATGCAACTATAAAACGATGCGAATTTGTACATTTTAATGTGTTTGAAAGACAAAAGCCTTCCAAAGACAGTAATGCATGGTTAAATGCCTCACTGTGATAATTCAGATAATAATTGTGTTCATCAGGAGTTTATTAGATATGCAAGTTGCAATACCGAGAAACGCTTCTTAAAATGGAAATGATTTCAGTGATCAAATGCTGTGTGGCCTGTGAGGAGATCTGTGTGTGCAATTCCACAAACCTGGAAGAACTTCTGAATGTATAGAAGCAGTAGACTTTTTTTTAGAAAGGAATATGTAAAAGATAAAAAAGTAGTAGTTGGGAGAGAATCGATGAATCATGAATAATTGACTGCCATTGCGAGAATAATCAATAAAAAAGAAACTGTAGTCTGATTACGAGCATTTTAAAACGTAATATAATCTAATTACATGTACTTAATTATTGAAACCTGATAACATAATCCAGATTACATGTAATCAGTTACTAGCTAGCACTGTTGCGTGCTTGCTTCTCCCTGTAGTCATTATAAAATCACTTCAGTATTATTATATGGAGTTACACACTGAGTGTGAATACGTAGGTTTACTATAGAAAAGCTAAAATGTGAATAAAATGGTAACTGACCAAAGCAACGGCCTCAGTCTGCAAATTTTAGAGAACTTAATGAGGCACTACAATTCATACTTCTATGAATTATCTGAATGTTCAAACTGTACCTGGCGGGAATGTGGCTTTCCGTATCTCAACTCCGTAACAAAGTGCTCACAGTTCCCTCTAAAGACACAATATGGAAGTTCTTGATCCAAATAACGTTCTGCTTCCCGTAGAATAGCACAAAAGGGACGTGGCTCGTATTTGTCATCCAGAAGGTTGTTGATACGGTATTCATCATTGCCAACTACTTCATACAGTTCTTCTTTCTTCACTGTGGCTTTGTCACATAGTACTGACATCATACTGTAGGCCCCAGCTTGAGCATGCTCAGCTATAGAGAAAGAAATGGAAAAGTAAAAACAAAATATAAAATGTGCAACCTTTACATGTTCAAAAAGTTGTCACTTAAATGGAATGTTTTAGATTCAATTCAAGATCAACTCAATAGGCAGCATGTAAAGCATGTAAATAACCCACAGGGTGGTGCCAGGTGAATCACAAAACCATCGCCAACATAAATAGCCCAGTGCTGATATGTGCCTCGGAAGATTTCAATGAGGTCTCCAGGCTCCGGCTTCTTATCATACTAAGAGACAACATCAGGCATAATATCGTGTTACATTTTGATAGAACCATTTATCTTGTCAATAATATATTATATTGTTTAACTCAAATAACCAAATATTGCACTTGTGGGTTTCACTTTATTTTGATGGTCACTTTAACACCATGTCTACTAACTATGAAGGTAATATGATGCCATAAAGAAACCCATAAAGGGAAGGGTTAACTGACCCAAACTGATCTGTGAAAGGTTTCACAAATCAGAATGACGAAGTTACCGACTCAGGGAAGGGTTAACTGACCCAAACTGACCTCTGAAAGGTTTCACAAATCAGAATGGCCAAGTTAACCACTCAGGGAAGGGTTAACTGACCCAAACTGATCTGTGAAAGTTTTCACAAATCAGAATGACCTAGTTAACCACTCAGGGAAGGGTTAACTGACCCAAACTGATCTGTGAAAGGTTTCACAAATCAGAATGGCCAAGTTAACCACTCAGGGAAGGGTTAACTGACCCAAACTGATCTGTGAAAGTTTTCACAAATCAGAATGACCAAGTTAACCACTCAGGGAAGGGTTAACTGACCCAAACTGATCTGTGAAAGTTTTCACAAATCAGAATGACGAAGTTACCGACTCAGGGAAGGGTTAACTGACCCAAACTGATCTGTGAAAGTTTTCACAAATCAGAATGACCTAGTTAACCACTCAGGGAAGGGATAACTGACCCAAACTGACCTGTGAATGTTTTCACAAATCAGAATGACGAAGTTACCGACTCAGGGAAGGGTTAACTGACCCAAACCTATCTGTGAAAGTTTTCACAAATCAGAATGACCAAGTTAACCACTCAGGGAAGGGTTAACTGACTCAAACTGACCTCTGAAAGGTTTCACAAATCAGAATGGCCAAGTTAACCACTCAGGGAAGGGTTAACTGACCCAAACTGATCTGTGAAAGTTTTCACAAATCAGAATGACCTAGTTAACCACTCAGGGAAGGGTTAACTGACCCAAACTGATCTGTGAAAGGTTTCACAAATCAGAATGGCCAAGTTAACCACTCAGGGAAGGGATAACTGTCCCAAACTGACCTGTGAATGTTTTCACAAATCAGAATGACGAAGTTACCGACTCAGGGAAGGGTTAACTGACCCAAACTGATCTGTGAAAGTTTTCACAAATCAGAATGACCAAGTTAACCACTAAGTGAAGGGTTAACTGACCCAAACTGATCTGTGAAAGTTTTCACAAATCAGAATGGCCAAGTTAACCACTCAGGGAAGGGTTAACTGACCCAAACTGATCTGTGAAAGGTTTCACAAATCAGAATGGCCAAGTTAACCACTCAGGGAAGGGTTAACTGACCCAAACTGATCTGTGAAAGGTTTCACAAATCAGAATGGCCAAGTTAACCACTCAGGGAAGGGTTAACTGACCCAAACTGATCTGTGAACGGTTTCACAAATCAGAATGGCCAAGTTAACCACTCAGGGAAGGGTTAACTGACCCAAACTGATCTGTGAAAGTTTTCACAAATCAGAATGACCTAGTTAACCACTCAGGGAAGGGTTAACTGACCCAAACTGATCTGTGAAAGGTTTCACAAATCAGAATGGCCAAGTTAACCACTCAGGGAAGGGATAACTGTCCCAAACTGACCTGTGAATGTTTTCACAAATCAGAATGACGAAGTTACAGACTCAGGGAAGGGTTAACTGACCCAAACTGACCTGTGAAAGTTTTCACAAATCAGAATGGCCAAGTTAACCACTCAGGGAAGGGTTAACTGACCCACACTGATCTGTGAAAGTTTTCACAAATCAGAATGGCCAAGTTAACCACTCAGGGAAGGGTTAACTGACCCAAACTGACCTCTGAAAGGTTTCACAAATCAGAATGACCAAGTTAACCACTCAGGGAAGGGTTAACTGACCCACACTGATCTGTGAAAGGTTTAACAAATCAGAATGACGAAGTTACCGACTCAGGGAAGGGTTAACTGACCCAAACTGACCTGTGAAAGTTTTCACAAATCAGAATGGCCAAGTTAACCACTCAGGGAAGGGTTAACTGACCCACACTGATCTGTGAAAGTTTTCACAAATCAGAATGGCCAAGTTAACCACTCAGGGAAGGGTTAACTGACCCAAACTGACCTCTGAAAGGTTTCACAAATCAGAATGACCAAGTTAACCACTCAGGGAAGGGTTAACTGACCCAAACCTATCTGTGAAAGGTTTCACAAATCAGAATGACCAAGTTAACCACTCAGGGAAGGGTTAACTGACCCAAACTAACCTGTGAAAGTTTTCACAAATCAGGTTCAATCTAAAACAAGTGTTTTTGTAATCCAGTGTGTTTATTATAAATTGTTAATATCCATTGTTTAAACATGAAAAACGCCTATTTTCAACATTCCTGTCTACCGGACTTAGCGAACGTTTTACAGACAAGAGCTTTGCTGTGAAAAAATTCACAAATCGAGCATGTCAAGGTGACACTGGGTTCAGACTCCTAAGTGACCGACTTTTGGAGCTATACCCAATAAAAAAAAAGAGAGAAAAAAAAAGATTTTGACCCGGAGAAACACTGTTACACAAATTCACAAATCATGAATAACGACGTGAGATATTATTTGCATGTCCACGACACCGCACTGCGGGACCACAGCGAAACGAAAACTGAAAATCAAACCGCAAACTATCTTTACTCCGGTTGCAAACGGACTCTTTTGAGAAGACAGGGGATTGTCATTTGTTATATATATATATTGACCTGCGTTCTGTTTTCTATCATGCGCCGTGCACGTTTGTGATGACGTAGATGCACGCAAATGCACCAGGGTTCGACAGTAAAGTTTTTTAAATGTTTAAATGTATTTTAAAATGTATTATTATCATGCTTCCACATCACAAACAATCAAGGTACATAATAAAATCTCTAAATATAACAGCAATTGTTCAGCCTTACGTTGAGCATATAGTAACAAAAATAGCCTAGGTTTGATAGAGTCAAGTTGAATGTGAAACCAGACCAACGCTCGCGCAATCGCACCGGAACTCGGACCGCAGTAAAACGCCCTAAATTGGCATAGGCTGCAATGTTAGGTTACTTAGACAGTAGAATGTCTGTAATAAAGATTTAGCAGATATTAGGCAGTCTAATAGCCTACTCTAGTTAGTGGACAGTTGCAAAGTTACTTGCTATTATCAACAGAATGTTCAAAAGGGACCATCAAAATAAAGTGTTTCCCACTTTGAATAGATAAAAAACGAAAAGAAAGTGAAAATGTGCTTGCTGCGGTTTTGTTAACTTTTCCTAAACGTATCTGCGCAGTGCGCACAGTCTTGTTTCAGAAATGTATCTATCTAGGTCTTTCTGTTGCTTTAGAAAACAAAATCCTATCTCTATTACATTAATACAATTCCTCTATAACAGACCTTGAGCAATAAGCACACATAATTACCAAACTGTGCAATAGTATCAAACTACGCCATCAATAACAGCGCTAATTTTATGTATTTGCTATTTAATGTTACATTCCATTCCTTCCGTTTGTTTTGGATTATTGAAAAAAAAAAAGTTTTACCTTTGTCGGAGCCATGGCAACCACTCTAATCCTATGAGAAACACACAACAAATATATGTTAGACCGTGTTTCCATCAGGTGCTAATATCAGTGTTTGGTGATCCAATCACAGGAACTCTTTACCGTTGAATTTATGCACTTCGTTTATTTTCTTGAGAGGGCAGCACATTTGCGACAATAACCCGCTACGTAAAAGAACGTTCTGTGAATTTATTCATATTAGCTGCTATAGCCAATGTAGCCTAACGTTACGTGAATGTGAAGGCGATCATACACAAAAATAAAAGAAATAAAAAAGTTGGAACATCGGGAATAAAACATCACATTGTAGGAACAACTCGACTCAAAAACAAACAAATAAATAAACAAACAGCTTGCTGTCTACGATCCATGCTTTGAACACGATCTTCATTTCGTACTCGAGCGCGTAAGTATAACTAAATAATTAAGAAATCATACTTACAATTATGTATATGTTTCAATGAGCCCCGATCCGTGTATGTCTGTAGTAAAAAATAACATCAGAGACTATGCATCAGCTGATTAGTGACTGTTGACAGAGCGAATTCGACCAATCAGCGTGAGGGTCATTCAGCGTATAGGCATCATGACTTGATGATGGTTTTATTTATAATATATCTACAATTTTACTGACGTTTTATTTTTTTCATCAGGAATGCTTACTGACGTTTGATTTTTTTCATTAGGAATACTACTTTTGTACGTTTTAGGAGACACATATTTATTATACTGCACCAATGGTCAATGTTATTGACTACCTAAATAAAATGTATTAAATAAATAGTTTAAAAAATACAGTCAACTGTCATAACATCTAACAAACGTCTAACCCCTTGTTGTCAAGGACGATGTTGGATATTTTGACACCTAAAACCGCAGAGGGCGATATGTGTATCAAAAATTTTGTTTGTTTTTATCCAATAACATTTATTCAGTTGTCATAATTTCTAAATATCAAGAAGTTTATTGCTAATTGTATGATAAGTCATGGAAATGAACAAAATCTTAAGAAGTCGGTAAATTATGCTCAGCTGAAATTTCAGCATGTTGTGACAGTGACTGGAAACTGTCCAAGTACAATGGCTTGACACATAATCTACAGTAATCTCTGGATGACGAATCCAACAATTTGCTGCCTTTTGTGACGCCTTTCTCTTTTCTTGAACAATGCTGCTTTCATAGTCCAAGAGTCATTTTAAAAAAGTAGGCCATAAGAATGAATCCAATAACTGCTTTTAACGCCTATGCAAAGGGAGAGAAAATAATGTCAAATAATTCATCATAATACTGCTCTGTATTCCCGTGGTTTCGAAATAACTCATTGATTAACATGGAGTAAGCCTAATACATTACTAATACAAAACACATATCTGAGTTATCTAAGTTGCATTTTCGATGTTAACAACTGATATGGACATTGTAATCTAAATAGTTATGAACATTGAGCCTTGAACACCAGCTACATCCATAAGTTTCTCTTTTCACTATATGGCTTGACCAGTTGCAGCTATGGTGAAATAGAAAAGCAGAGAACATTTTCTTACTCTATGTAAAATACTCAATCTTTTTGTATAATAATAAAAACATAGGCGAAAAGCTTGCATTTTATGTTGAAAACTTAACAATTACTCTTACACTCTTAGTTAAAATTGTCTGCTGAATTGGCCAGAAATTAACTAAAGGATGTGGCCTTTCCACAAAAACAGTGACTAATAAACAGACAGTACAGTGAAAGACAAAACATCACACAAAACTGAAATAACACCATGAACATTAAAGCTTAAAAACATATAACATACACCACAATGGCATATATATATATATATATATATATATATATATATATATATATATATATATATATATATATATATATATATATATATATACATATGCCATGCAACTTTGGTTATTTAATCACCTTTGTATAATGTATTATGTTTGTAATGAACTCATGTTGTACTGTGAACCACATCACCATTACCAATATATATGTAGACCATTGCTTACTCAGGAGATCTCCACATTCCAGCTTCTCATCAAAAAAGGGAAAGTAATATTAGATCATTAGATAATATTTAAAACTATTTCCATAGAGAATTAGTAAAGCCAGACATTGGCCTTGTCAATACTTTAAGGTAACAAAAAAAAACATACAGAATTGAAAAGTAAAATAAAAAGTCCTAAATAGGCTATTTCAAAACCCATCATCAACAGCATACAATTGTTATTTTTACCCATTTATGGTACATTTCAGTGTGTTGTTTTCAAGTCTGTATAAAAATGTTTACCTTGATTGATGCCATGGTGACAATAGCAAGTTCTGCTGGTTTTAAAACTATGACAAAACCGAAAAACAGCCTTTTGTGTTCCTTGTCAGCTTGATCCAGTTGATTGTTGTCAAGCAAGTCAAGTCACCTTTATTTATATTGAAGGGGTGGATTCTGGAATCCACTGCTGCTTCAATGTAGCCTATATGTAATGAGTGATTACAATCAAGGTATTAATGAATATTTTTCCTTCTAAATATCAAATAAGTTGAATGACTTCTCTGAGATTGTACTTTGTTATAGAAGTTACCATGTGTGAAATGTTCTTTTCATGTATTCTCTAATGTCTGTATTTGATATCTAAAGGTGACTGAGGGTCTGGCTCAAATGCCAGGAATGCAGTAACACTGCTTGCTCATTTAGCCCAGCTGACTTCTTTAACATCTGTCAGTACATACATCTGTTTTTCTGGGATACCCTGACAACTAGGTCACAAGGGTCATTGTAACCAATAATTTGAGTTACATTTCTTTGTTAAAGCCTTAGTTAGATTAAAGTGTCCTCTCCTTAAGAAAAATAACGTATTATCTTGATGTTTTGAGAAGACTCTCCCGTTTATAGTTAGAGATGGCCAAATCCAACCTTTACTTGAAGAAGCTGTGTGTCTGTGTGTGTATTAGTATTCTTGGTTACAGGAACAAGTGGCATTATTGGAGGTGGATTGATAGTTTTCTTCGACATGTTGGCGACTAGAAACGCAGATCTGCGACCTGGATGGTCACGACGCGCCTAAATTCAGGGTCCGAGTGTCAGCCGTATAATCAACGGAGATATGCTTAGGTCTATCTGTTTATGTGTGTGGAATGTTTTTTATCGTTTATCTATTTCTTAGCCAATCAGAATCATTCAACAAGGACATAGCTTAGACTTGGTGAAGGGTATAATTGCTGTGATCTTTGTAAGCAGGGCATACTCCTTTTGAGTCTTGAAGCTGACTTCTCCCTGATGAAACTGCAAACTATCTTCAGTAAAACTTTTCTTTCATTTATTATAATTCTGACCCTTGTCTTAAATTGACTGCACTTCTGACTCCGGGTCTTAATTAATCATATCTGGTCCTTGGGTCTTTAACTGTAAATCCCCTAACAATATACACTTTATACAATACAGATTGTTACAAAGCAGCTTTACAGTGATAACAGGAAAATGAAGATTCAATGATGCAAACAGAATTCAACTCTGCTGTATAGCAGCTCTAAAAAGTAGTAGTACAATAGTAAACAGTCATTATTCCGTTGAAATCAGTCCAGTGTTGATTCATTTTGGTTCAATAACTGAAAGTACATACATTATTAAATGAGTTCAATTCAGCTATAAAGCAGCTCTGCAGAAAACAGTGATGTCCTCGTCCAGCTAAGCTGTTGAGTTCTCATCCATTAGTGTCAGTGCAGTCAAATCAGTAATATTGCCTCACTACCTCTTCCAGCAGCAACCTGGTTTTCCCAGAAGGTCTCTCATTCAGGTACTGACCACCCTAAACCCTGCTTAGCTTCAGTGGGCAACCAGTCTTGGACTACAGGGTGATGGCTGCTGGCAAGAAAAGACATTACATGGACTTGACACATGCACACATCACTACCTGATTATGCCAGCATTTACCATCTTATTAATCAGCATAATGTGTAATCGTTTTGCCTATTTCAAAGGAGTATGATACTATGGTTTTTTTTTTTTGCCAACATTTTGTTTAAAAAATGTCACAACCCAGTTTGTATTTTGTAAAGTTATCTTTATCACACTAAGCTCATGTGAACATGTACAGTGTTTTGTGGCTAGACTTTTGAAACAGTGTAACTTTTAAAGTTTATTTTTGCATTGCCTCAGATTTCTATTGTAAGAGCATTACTGTAAACAAAATGCAAGTTTCAAGTTTACTTTCACATTCATAGCGCCACACCTCAAAACATATATAATGCCACACCTAAAAATATTACATCTGAAATTGATTAACTTGTAAAAAGTAACAACTTAACATCTTGTTCAGTCATTAAGATAGACCAGTCATTCTGATTGTCTGTGCTAGTCTGCAGTTTTTCTGGTTAATCAGTGATTATGTTTTTGAGAGCTGGTGCAAAATTTTCTGTAATTTCTGTTTACACACTCATGCACACAAAATCTACCTTGATATGAACAATAATAAAATAAGAGTCTTATGAAACCACACAACTTGAAAAGGAATTACTCAATGAAAAATGTTTGGTCAAATATTTATTGGCACCAAAATAGCAACACAGCAGTTTGTTTGAGTCCTGTTCAGTTTTCCCGCTCCTCATCATCCCTCAGTTAATTCACCTGTGTCTAATTATCTTCATCTGTGTCACCTGTGCCCCAATTATGTTCCTTTGTCTCCCTGTGTTATGTTAGCCCTCTGTTTCTCCCTATTCCTTGTCCGTTCTCGTTTGTATTATGACGTGTGTTGTGACTCCTAAGTTTAGTTTGAATAAATTCCTGTCTTCCTTGTGTTTGCTCCACCACGTCCCGTGACAGTTTGAAGATTAATTTGTTCAAATATTTTGCATTTGAATTATATTATAAAAGTGCTTGAAAGTTCAATAGAAAACTAAGTCTAAATGCATCAAATAATTTACTGACTTCCAAAAGACCTCCACAATTGTGCTTTCAGTTCTTTATTTCTCAGTGTTTCTGCTTTTCTTTGTTTTTTGAA